AGGGCTTAGGGTTTAGACCTTAGGGTTTAGACCTTAGGGTTTAGGGTTTAGTGTTCTCTAACCCTGGGTGTCCCAAGTGCCCGATAAATGGGTACTTGGGGTTTGGGTAATAGTAGTTGTAGTGCAGCTTCGGGCTAGGTATATCATTATTGAATACTTGGACCCCTGGGGTTATACACGGTCCACATAGGGGCGGGGTTCAGGGTCCGAGTCCCTGAAAGACTCAGGCAACAGGCTATCACGGTAGGAGCATGTTTCGTCCACCAAAAAATGCAACATGAAACCAGGATCAGGATAAGGCTTAGGCTTGTTTTTCATTGATGCAATCCGGTAGAAAAGTGCCTTGAGGCCTGGATTTCAGGAATATCGTCATGGAGGATTGGAGTCACCAACAGAAGTGGACATGTAACCTGCGAGGTATTCAAGGTTTCGACAACGCACGTTCAATTAGGATTTTCCACAGAATGATGTGCTCAATCCCTGTTTCCATTTCATTCTCAAATTTCTGCGCCACTTGATTCTGCATTATCTCCAAGGGCCTCAAGCGTCGGACAAGCTTTTTTCAACCTCTGAAGAATTGGAGGTTGATCATGTATCCGAACTCGCCGAGCTTTGCCTCTGGGTTGTCAAGGGCGTGAAAAGCAAACCCTAAGGGTCCAAGTACCTAATAATCATATACTTACCCAAACTCTGTGCTAAAATCACTATTGCCCAAAACCCAAGTACCTAATTATTGGGTACATGGACCCTTAACCCTAAACCCTAAACCCTATGTCCCCCTATAGATCCCTATATATCCCCCTTTAAAAGAGACCTAATTATTGGGTACATGGACCCTTAGGCAAAGGGGTGTTAGGGTTTGGAGTCCATGCTCCAGGGGCACTTATAACCTACCCTAAGGGTCCATGGGTTTAGGGTTTAGGATTTAGGGTTTAAGGTTTAGGATTAGGGCTTCTTACCCTAAGGGTCCATGTACCCAATAATTAGGTACTTGGGTTTTGGGTAATAGTGATTTTAGTACAGATGTTGGGTAAGTATTTGATTATTGGGTACTTGGACCCTTAGGGTTATAGCCTAGCTAGGACTTTTAACCCAAGTATCATCACATTACGGGACCTAGGCGGCCCAGAACCTAAGTATAAGTACCGGTAAAAGTAGGTTATATATACCTGCAGACCCTCCATGTACGGTCCAGGATTTATGTAGGGCTCAGGATTTGGTTCAGGCAGAAGAAAGACTACTTTTTATCTAGAAGCTACCGTACGACCGTATCGTTGGATACCCAGTACCCTCAACCCTAGAACCCCAGCTTTTTCGGGCAACAAAAAAAATGATCATCTCATTGACCAAATTGCCCCTGTCGACGTTACGTAGCGTTTAGGGGTGAGCCCATCCTACTTAGATCAATATGACCCTGGGGAATCCATGTGAACCCATGATTTTGCGGTAGCACAGCATACATTAGAAGCAAAATCGTGCCTTCAGAAATCCTTCAGAACCTAGGTTTCCAGAATCCAGGTTTAGCCAGGAAGAATGCCATTCCGGAACCAACTGGTCGCAACTTGGCCGTGGCCTCTAAAACTTGGCATTCTCGAAACAACGCCCCATAAGTTGGAGACAGCCGCGCGCGAATGTCAGGCAAGCCACTGCACAAAGCTACAAGAAAGAAGTATTTGTTGCGGGCTTCCCCCAATATGTCCCTGAGAATGTCTTAAAAAGCCTCTTCATCCAATATGATCTCACGATTTCCTCAAAGGTTTAGCGGGTTTCGGGTTTAGGGTCTTTTCTTCTTCAATCTACAGGGCATGAGAAGTGAGAGTAGGAATGTTCATCATGCAGGTAGTTTCAGAATCACTCAGTGTGTACATGTCATAACCACTATGGACCCATGTACAACTCCAACTTCCATTTCAACGTTCCATTTTTCCGAAATACCAAACCCAATATCATGACTATAGGTCCCTACTCCACCCCCCCCCCTCAAAAAAAAACACCAAACATCACCATATGTGTATATGTATATATCTACATATGCACATGTATGATAACCTTTGTAACCCTACTCCTAAGCCGGGGCAACACACATGAAAGTTTGCTGCCACGCTAAAACTTTCGAACCTCTGCAACATCATCAGCCAACAACCCCAAAACATGTTCCTAAACCCTAACCCCTGAACCCCTTAAACCCTAAACCCTACACAGTAGTTTCCATTTCTTTTCCATTATCCCCACATAATCCCTACAGATATAACCCTTAGACCCTGAAACCTCAACCTCTCGGTTCAAAGAAATCCTGCCCCTGAGACACAACTTGAACTTCGTCCCCCGAAAAACCACGTCCCTTGAACTCTCGATCTCGTTGCGTACTATCAATACCCTGAGGGTCCAAGGACCCAAATAATAGGGTCCCTTTAAAGGCGTTACAGCGGGACGATATAGGGATATGGGGACTATATAGGGGTATATAGGATGCAAATCATAGGGTTTTGAGGCCCAAATACTATAATGGTAGTGGTATCGGGGCCCTAAACCCTGTTATTTGGATCCTTGTACCCTTAGGGTATAGATCTCCCTGCTGTAGGGTTGAGGGCTTACAAAAAAACCTTTGGCCAAGGCTTTTGTAGTGTCCTCGGTGAGAGTTGCTATATTGTAACCCCATTTACCTACAGCTTAATAATAGCTGCCCCATCATGAGAACTAGGTATAACCAAACAAACTTGGGTTCAAGGTTTAGGGACGTCGAGGGTCCAGATACGCAAGTCGTACAGCAATATGTTTAGGCCCCAGCTTCTGTAAATAGAAACCCGTTTCAAACCCAAAATACAACTGCTTGGTTCTTGGACGCTGAGGGGCCCTGAGCTAAACCAAAACCCAGCCGCGCCGACTTTTTGATGCAAGGCTGTTTAGGTCCCCAGTTTCCCCAACTCAATGCTAAGCCCGAAGCCCACAAACCAAAAGGACAGTTTCAAGAGGGTGCCTCTACATACTGCGCATATGTCCAGTACAACGCTGCCATTACAACTCGGCAACGAGGATAGCCTAACCTCTGTAATCTGTTACACCCTATACCATACACCTCGCGCCCTAAAGCTTGCAAATCACATAGGGGTTTAAAGCAGCGAAAAATAAGGCAATACAGGTCTTCATGATCATGTGAAGCAGAAACAGGCATAAACACAAACCCTCAATCCTAAGCCCTAAACCCTCAACCCTAAATCCTAAACCCTCAGCACTAAATCCTAAAACCCTAAAACCCTAAAAACCCTAAAACCCCTAAAACCCTACACCCCTAAACCCTTATAAGTCCCAAATCCTAATTCTCCTTCCCAGCAAGCCCCAGGTCCCGCGCGGCGGTCGTGGACTCCGGAAAAACGACTTCGTCTCCGTGGAAGCAGGCCACCTTCGAGGCTCAGGGGGTTCATATCCCTAAGGGTCCATGTACCCAATAATTAGATACTTGGGTTTTGGGTAGTAGTGATCATAATACAGGTTTTGGGTAAGTATATGATTATTAGGTACTTGGACCCTTAGGGAATATGCATTGGCTAGATAGGGTTTACCTGGACCCCAAAAGCATGTTAAATAATGGCCTTTAAGGCTGTTAATACGGATTTAGGGCTATTATTTTACATACGTTTGGAGTCTAGGTAAGGTTGAGGGTTGGCGATTTACGGTTTAGGATTTCTGGTTCAGGGTTCAAGAGGTGTACCTTGTATAGGGCTTGGGGTTTGGCGCGCGGGGTTCAGCGTAGCTTTTTGGATAGGATTCTTTTTAGGACTCCGCCCAAGGTACAACATTGGTCTAGGTTTGGGAGACACGGTCTAGAAAGCAAGGCTCCCGGCTGGGTTGCTGAGGTTTGGGTTGAGCGTGCGCACCTGCATCTTCTACTCTAAGGAGCTAGCAAAACAGCGTAGGGGTTGTCCTGTGAGGCTTTACCCTTCCAGGCCTGTAGATTCGTTCTTACGCCCTCAGTCATGAGGCTCGAGCCCTTATGTATGTTGTTGTTTGTGGAGGAGACTACCGCTTTTTCTCCAGGACCATCTAATTTGGTCTTTAGCCTCTGCCTGAACCCGGCTCATGAACGATAAGACTTGCGGTTGCTGATATGAGCAAAGCACAGAATTCTGGTACTAAAAAAACCATCAACTCCTTCCCAAGAGGTAGCGCAAGTGTCACTGACCATTCACACAGTAAGGGTCCGCCGGGCACTTGGAGTCGAGTCTTGAGCTCAAGGCCCCAGGATGTGGTTCAGATGGATTGAGCAATCACAGGGTCAGCAGGCCCACCCCAAAAAACATGCAAGTCAACAAGCCGGCTTCCCCCATTGCCCGATAACCTCTATCAAGGCCATGATAGCACCCGCACAAGCGTCTACTCCCTGAAATGGTTCTGTTGCGTGGAACAGCCTTTCCGCTAGCTTTCGCGGGTAGGCGGACACCGTTCAGGAAGGTGCCATTGGTTGACCTCAGGCCAGGATACGGGTTTAGGGTTGTGAAATGAAAACAACAACCTAGAATCGACACAGAAGGGGTGACTTAGGTGCAGCGAAACGCAAAAACCTCTCAAAATCTGAATCCCCCATGTGCACAAAAAGAGGCACAAGAAGACACGGAGAGTTAAGTAGTGGGTGTGAGGGTGTCAGCGTCAAGGGATAAACACGCTTAGACCCGTATAAACCATGATTTCGTCCGTCCTAGAGCCCTCACACCTCCTCCACTTACATCCCGGTAGCACCCTATGAAAAAGTAATCCATCAGCTAAAGACCTAAACCCTAGAGCCCCAAACCCTCAACCCAAAACTCGCTGGACTTTGAGACCCGAGCAGATCAATGATGTACAGAGCACCGCGGTGTGGAACGAGCTCCTGAGAAAAAAAATAGCTAACCCAGGGTCCAAGTGATCAGGTCTTGTTTTAGGGACATTCAGGGGAGCTTTGGGATATACAGGGAGATACGGGGTTTAGGGTCCAAGTGCCCAATTGCCATGTGCTTTGGGCTTGGGTAGTGCAAATTATGGTACAGGTTCGTAGGAAGTATATACCTATCGAGTACCTGAACCTTAGAGTAAGGGCTATGCCGTAGGCGTCTGCATGAATAAATGACCCGAATGCCTGCAGCTATAGTGAACGGTTGAGACCCTGGGAACCAAGTATGGGCTCTAAACCCTGGCATTCTTATTTACCTGCTATATACCCTATACCCCTGAAAGGCATGAGAGCCCATATTAAGGGCCCATAATTGTAGTCAAGCCGTGTAGTCCCATACAGAGGTCTATCTGCGTAAGGAAGGCTATACAGTAACAAACAAAAAAGCTGGTACATGGAAAGAGGATGACGTCTGCTGCTGTTCCCTCGATAAAGGGGATCCCTAAACCCTAAACCCTAAACCCTAAACCCTAAACTGTAGGGGCGCAAGATTTTCCATACAGCTCCAAGAGGTGCATTATTCAGTTTCTGCTGTAGAGAGCGATGACCAATGCCATTGGCCCCTGTAGTCATAAGCAGCCTAAGTATTGAAACAAAGTGAAACATTTTGAAATATTGAAGGCTCTATCCTGAGTGCATACTTCCAGTAGGGAAACTACTTCTTTCAAACATGGGCTGCATATTGATGCATGCCAAGGGTACCACGTGGCGGCTTATCGCAGGGGACTTCCAAGTAAGTTGCGCATGGCGTTGAACTCGTATTCACAATCCCCGACATGGCCTTAACAACTTCTTCTCCCGAACTTACATACCTTCCGGGTCCAAGGACTCAAATACTAGGGGTTCAGCAACCAAATACTGGGGCCCTAAAACCCTAATCTTTGGGTCCTTGGACCCTTATAAGGGACATATTATAATCCCCATTATAGGGACCCCCAAAAGGGTACCCCACCCCCAATGTTGGACAAAACAACCACATAATTTGCAAGCACAACATAAAACTAGTTAGCAGACCCTGAGAACCTGAGTGTAGGAGTACCGCTCAAGTACTTCATATAAAGGGACTTTAATGGGAAAGGGAACCCCAAGAACATAGTGGGAATATATTATAGCAGAAGGACCCTGATAGGTATATTCCTACTATCTTCCTACTATATTCTTGGGGTTCCCTGTTTGGGGCCACACAATCTGAAACGCAGAGAAGAAGCCCAGAGGATCCAAGTAACCAATAGTTAGGTACTTGGGATTTGGGTAGTAGTGGCTATGGTACAAGGTTTTCGGAAAGTATATGATGATTGGGTGCTTGAACCCTGTGGGAAGGGGGTCTGCAGGTTTTTGGCTTTGAGGGCTTTGGTGCTTTCGATTCTGCCGACATGGCGTTCATGACAGTCTTTTGCACTGCTTTCAGTAGAGAATGCATCCGGATCCCTTAGGTGTCGCTAATGTGGCGTCCATCAAAAAGTCTGGATCAGCAGGGTTCACATGAGCTACGGTCAATATCAAGCATGTCTGACTGATACATACCCCGACACCCAATTTGCCCCTAAGCCATGAACCGAAGCCCTATAAACCCTAAACACTGCACCCTGAATCCCAACCTCTACATATCCCTATAAACCACCGATTCACCCCGTCATTCTTTCAAAAGGGGACCCCCCCCTCGCTTCACCCTAGGGGTCCAAGTACTTAATCATCATATACGTGCCCAAAATCTGCACTAAAATCACTATTACCCAAAACCCAAGTACCTAACCATTGGGTACATGGACCCTTAAGGTCATAAATTGCAGACCCGGCTCAAAGCGAGCATGAATCCTGCACGTGTGGCAAACTGGCTTTGGGTCAGGGTTTACCCTAAGGGTCCAAGTACACAATATTCATATACTTACCCAAAACCTATACTTTAAATACTATTACCAAAATCCCAAGTATCTAAGTATAGGGTACATGGACTCTTAGGGTTAGGGTTGAGGGATCTCAGGTTTTAGGGTTGGATCTCAGGTTTGGGGTTGAGGGATCTCATCATAACCCTGGGTCAACTCTGGCTTGGGGTTAAAGGGTGGCCCTACGCGGCGCTATCAGGATTCTACAAGGTTTTGGGAGGGGTTGAGGCCTGGGAGGCTTTCTAGGCCTTTTCTAAGGGACTGTAGAAGGATTGTGTAGGGTTGGGTGTCCAGGATCTGGGGTTCAGGGTTTAGGGAGCTCTGTAGGCATCATATCTATAGGGCTTTATATGGATTGTCTAGGGGTCTTTAAGGGGCTTGGTAGGGGGTGTTGAATATAACCCTTCCCAAGTCGAACATGGCTACAGCCCTTACTAACTGGGGTGTCATGTCATAACGGGGGTGGAGGTGTATCGCGACAGGTGCCATATATATATATACACATACAAACACATAGATAATGTCTGTATATATATATATATTATATACACACATGTTTGTAGTCCCTCACATTCCGTGAAGACTCCAAACTAGCTTTCGGCGGATCCAAATAGAGAGGCCTTACATAGTTAGAAGGGATGGACTTGTTGATGACTCAGACTCCCACTTCAAACATGTCATTGCAGCACATCTCTTTTTTTTAGCGCTGAGGCACTTGGTGAGAATCCCCAAATCCTAAACCCTGAACCCCTATAGTCCCCTTTAGGCAAATAGAATATGGGGTATAGGGGGATCTTAGTACAATATACCCAAAGCCATATTCTATCTACTTAAGGGGGACTATACACCCTAAACCTTAACTGCATAGGTGCTCGGTTGGGGTGGCAGACTGCAGCTTCTGCGTGGTGCACGGTTTTGGGTTGAGGGATTAGGCTTACAAGTACGAGAGCGCCAAAAATTGTCTCAAACAGCGCTTATTGTAGCCTACCTAGCCTAGAACTTGGGAGTGGGTCTCCGACACAGTCACCCCAAGCGAGGCGGACCCGGCCTGGATATCACTGCGCCCTTGATGGGCAGGTCATTGGAGGCGTCAGATCCTAGCATGAGGGTCCACTTTCTCATTGACAAAAATCACGCGTATTATTCTCCAGATCTCCCAATTATTCGGCAAGAGGATAAGGGAGAAGGGCGATTATACTAGCGCCCTATTATACTAGCGCCCTCTTAAACTCATGCGATACCACTATTACAGGGCATTGGGGTCCACCTATTTTGTACTTCCTGCATAGCCTTCGGGTGGGACGAGGATGCTTAGTGTACAAGTTTGAAAACTTACCAATATCCCAACCCTGAGGGTCCAAGTACCCAATAAGTATGTACTTGGGTTCTGGGTAATAATGAATATAGCAGGCTTTGGGTAAGTATGTGCTGATTAGATACTTGGACCCCTAGGGCAATAATGGAGGGTTTGATTAGAGTTTAGGATGGAGGGACAAACGAAAAAGCATGGAACAGGAAATGGACGCTGGGGTTCATGAAATACCGAAATCAGTTCATGTTTGAGGTACCCTACACTATGACCAGGCGAGGAACCTAAAATCAGGACGTTGGTACTCATGTAGGATTGTACATTATTTCGAAAAGTATCCCGCACGAAAACGCAAAAAGGTAAGTATCAGGTTGCTGCGGAAATGTCCATAAATCTCTGGTCCACCCACTATCTTCTAGGCTCATATACATGTGACATTGGCTTGAGGTATGTTTGCGTTGCCCTGTACATAACATGTACATAGATATAATATACATAACGCCCCTTAACACCCCAACCTCAGAGCCCCGAACCTAGACCCCAAACTCTAAACCCCTAAACCCCAATGCCAAACCCCAAACTCTAAGCCCCTAAACCCTAATCTCTAAACCCCTAAACTCTAAACCCTAAACCCCCAAACTCTAAACCCTAATGCCCCCAAACTCTAAACCCCTAAATTCTAAACCCCGAAACCCTAAACCTTATTACAGCAGTGGGATCTCGGACGCAGGCCTAGGACGACATGGAGCTTGTCGCCGCCCAAGCTAAAGGAGCCCTGCCTTTTGCTTGGAGGTTTAGGGTTGTAGTTCGCGGCTTAGGGTTTAGGTTGTGGGGTTTTGGTATTTGTGGTTTAGGGGTTTTAGGATGTTTGGGGGTTTGGGGGTTTAAAGTTTCAGGGTTTGAGGGTTTAGGGTTTGAGGATTTGCGGTTTTAGGGGTTTAGGGCTTAGGGTTTTAGGGCTTTAGGGTTTTTTGGGTTTACGTAAGGTTTGTGGTCCAGGGTTTAAGGATGTTTTCGGGTTTAGGATCCTAGGATTTTGGGATTTCGGATTTAGGTTTTGGTGTTTGCGGTCTAGGCTTCTAGGACGCAGGTAAAGTGTACGGGCCTTGAGGATCGAGGCCATCTGAATTTGTTTTTGGTAGGGGGGAGGCAGGGCGGCAACAGCCCTTAGTTGCCTAATTCACGTACACGTTCTGGAGTACACCCAGATTTGTTGTGGATTGAAGGTAACTTCGTTACTCAAGGGATTCGGCAATCTTGGGAAGAAAGACAGAAGGAACCCTAAACCCTAAACGCTGGCCCCTCTCTGATTACAAAAGAACAATTTTAAGGCCTCCAGCGCCTAGTGATTCGCAAAATTCCACGAGCTCCAGATCCCGAAATGAGGCCTTGTCTTGCCGGGGCTTAGTGGGGAATCATACATAGGGCTGCTTTCTTCACATTATATTCCCTTCTTCCCTACTACCCACCAGTAAGTTTGCGTCGACCAGCCACCACGACCCTCCTCCTACTCTGCATTAGGGCCTAAATACCCATCATTAAGGGGGTCCCGAATTAAGGACTAGGAAACCCTAAACCCTAGACCCTCGGAGGGTCCTGGTAGAAAACCGCCGTTCGGGGTGACGTCGTGTGAGGTCGCTGGGCTTGGGTTTTAGAGTATGGGGATGTCTTGGGGTTTTAGGTTTAGGGTTTAGAGTTTCAGGGTTTTAGGGTTTGGGATTTAGACTTTCAGGGCTTTGGGGTTTACAGCTTACCCTTTGATGTTTGGCGTTTAGGATTGTTGGATGTTTTAGGGCTTCATGGGGTTCAGGGCTTAGGCCTGGAGTCTCAGGCGCTTAGGTTCTCACGCCGTGCTAGATTTTTGCCTTGCATCCCTAACGGCTCGTGCTTTTATTCCAACTACGCACACTGAACTCCGTAAGCTTACTGGTTCTTAGTAGGGAATAACGGGATAGAATCCCTACATAATCAATAATCCCTACATAATGTATTCCCATATTCCCTACTGAGAATCAACAATATTTCTTCACATAAACAGTTTGTCCACACTGCTGGCCCTGGTTCGGGTCTCGTCGTTCCGAGCATCCCGACTTGTTTGGCTCAGGATGAGAACCCAACTTTGTGGACAAACCCTAAGGGTCCATGTACCCAATAATTGGGTAGTTGGGTTTTGGGTTATACTTTAGGTTTTGAGATTATTGGGTACTTGGACCCTGAGGGAAAGTAGGGCATTCAAAACAGACAGGGTTAAAAGGGCATGCAAACAGAATCACATTCATCGGTCAAAAATGCTGCTCTGAGTCGTGCACAAAAGCAACATCGACAGCACAGCACCAAGACAGCACAACACAGGGTACCAGTGCCTAGAAAAAATGTACTCACCTTCAGCAGGCCTGCCATCAGTGAACTACTGCATATGAGCTACTGTCTAAACTCCTAGTATCCCCCTTAATATCCCCTATAGTAGTCCCCAATATAATCCCCTATATAACCCCCTTTAAGGAGTTTAGACTACAGCTCATATAGGGGCACTAGCCAGCGTTAACCTACCAGCAGCAAGAAAGTACGCAATAGAGCTTAGGAAGCTGGCTTCTTTCGAATCTGAATGTCAAACTCCACCACTACAAAGATCCGCCTCAAACCAGGGACCATGGGAGAAAGCAGCAACTTCGCGGAAATGCAAGGCTCCTGCAGGCAAGCAGCTGCAACAAGCGGCTTCCGGGGTCAGGGATTTGCGTTTTGGTTTAGGAGAGTTTCACGGGCGGTGGGAGATTTTGCAGCTTCAGGTAATCACCTTAGTCCAGGGCCACAGGCAGGCAATGAGATTCTGGGAAGCTCAAGAGAAAGTGGGCTGGTAGCAATATGCTGAGGCTATCTACAGAGACCAAGAAAAATGAGTTGTACAAAATTATGTTACTATAGGGGTCTGGTGTAGGGTGTACACTGGTGGGCAGGGGTATCTTCACCACGACCAGATAACCACCAACAAATCTTAATTAGCACTTGACTATAGCTTGCTCCCTCCTTGCTTTTTATGGTAGCCCAACTCTCCAACATAAAGCCCCATACGGCCAAGCAACTTTGAGTCTTCATGTTGTGCTAGGGACCCAAAACGTGATCAAAGTGTTTACATCCTCAGTTCTGCAATCAACTAAGACACCACTATGAAGACCTGACCTCACATGGGAATTCATCTAGGGAACAAAAAAACATAAGCAAATGGGTAAACCTGCGTGTCCCGTATGAAGCCCCTTAGAACCGATATTCCCACAAAAAAGTCCTACCCATCAAATGGATCCTCACGTGAGGGCACCTACCCTCCACAGCAACTTGCGTAAACCGCGTCCTGGGCCAGAAGACCTGAAAGCAAACTTTCACACGAATGAGCAGGAGAGGGACCCAAATAATCCTTCTGCGATCCTTTTCTTCATTTGGGTACTTGTGCGGACCCTTTCTGAATAAACACCCATGCAGGAGGGAGAGGTGTCGTGCACCTCGGGGAGCGTCACTGTCAAGAATCTAAATCTTTATCCGAGAGAACAATGACTCTCGTTTTTTACTGTACAGCGTATTGTTCAGGCCGGCATGAATGCTGAGTTAGACTTCCCCGGTAGGATTGCATAAGCAAGGTCCTTTTTGCTCGATCCGAAGTGCTGTTGTCGGTTTATATTCTTCCTATCTTTTCCAAGCTTGGGACATTCTCGTTTGTGTTATCGTCATGTTTCCCTCCTATAATTTTCCAACAAAACCAACGTTTTTCCATTTTGCGGTGCGCCAGAACATGATCTTCTGGCACGGGCATATTTTGCAACCCAGGTAAACACAAGACCAACACAAGACTCTGAATCCGTGGGTTTCAAGCCTGGTTTAGGCTTTGCGGGCGTTATAGCTTAAGCGGGACTGAGGACGTGGGAGTTGAGAGTTTTGTTCCCCTCCCTTGTTGGGCGCAGCCCCCCCTCCCAACAGTTGCAAAAAATGAGACATGCCGCAATTGCTGTTGAGGCTTCACTATTTGACATGATACGGGTCCATGCTGACAAAAGCAGGTGAGGAGCCAACAACGTGTCATCAAACAACAACACACGGGAACCACCAGAAAGCGACAAAAAGATGCCTGCAAGCGGCAGACAAAGAGCAGACAGCGAAAAAGCAACAAGCGCAAACAAAAAAACAGAAGTCCAAAACTGAACGAAAAGGGCAGAAAGCAGAAAGCATGCCACGAGCAAGACGCTGACAGCAGGAAAACAGACGCGAAAGGCAGAAAGCCAAAGACGATAACAACATCAAAAAACAAAACCAGGCAAACGCCTACAAAGAGGAGCGAAACAAACGAGCAAAAGCACATAGCAAAAGCAAGACACAGCCTGCAAACAGCAGACCACAAAAGGCATAACAGGCGAAAAGCAGCATGCAGAAAGCAAAGAAAGACCCCACACCCAAAATAACAAGCTTCGCATTCCGAACATCAAAAGATTAGGATTCCATCCGTGAACTGCAATGAGGGGTTCTTTGCTTGCTTGCTTGCTTGCTGAATTGCCTACGTGCGTGGCTGCTTGCCTGCCTGCCTGCTTGCTTCCGTGCTTCCTACACTCGGAGTAGTGCAAGGGGCACACCAACAGACAAACTCACACCGTGACCTTGAGGAAAAGGGAATTCATGTGCTGAATCTGTATGTGCACGAATGGAACCGTTGCTCAAACTCCAAGGCCATCTTTCCGACAAATGCTCTACTGGAAACACATGACATATGAAGGCCCTCGAACAGACAGTGTAACTACAAGTAGGTGCAAGAGGGATGCGTTTTCTAGCAGCTGTCCTTTTTTTGATTGCATTGAGCGCCGCTTGTATACAAAGAGCCACCCTGTCTTTAGGACCACTTAGAAACAACCTAGCGCACGTTGGTTAGGACCACTTCCAAACTCACACCGTACAATTACTAACGCCCAGACCCTCAACCTTCAACTCTCCATCACCTCTGGATTCCCCCTTCGTCATCCCTTCAAACTCTACACCCTGACTCCTCCGAAGCACAAACCATGTCACCTGCACAAACCTCAAAAAGCCTGAACAACGTCCTTTATAGTAACATACATCTCTGATATTCTACTGAAGTTCGTGGGAACATGAATGTAACACTCTGCCCCACGGCCACTACGTACGACAGAAGCCACGAAAAATGAACTAGGTCCTGACGACCAAACCACTACTGTCTACCCCTATCGCAGAATGATGCCTTGCACCTTTGCTTCACTGACCTGGGTGCGTGACTCACAGTCTCATGAGTCTAGTGTTGGAGTATGTGCTTTAGGGCTACGGGCGTTAGCAGAAAAATCTCGGTTGTAGGACAAGGGTTTACGGCTCGAAGCTTACGCAAAACCTTCTTAGAGCTTTTGACTTGAAAGTTGAGGGTTCAGGGTTTAGGGCACTGGTTTAGGGTCCCGGGTCCAGTCTCATGGTTGGGTGTGGGCGTCGTCATCTTATACCTTGCTGGGCTCCTTCAGCTTCCATCGAAACAAGCAATGTCTGCCCCCTGGATATGTCAGCTTTCTGTGGGGATCCCAACAGCCTACACCTGAAACACGCAGAGCACATGCAATAGAAGGACGCTCGAACCTAAACCCTGGCCCCTCTTCCAAAAAAGGACACAGTGACTCCAACCGGCCCCTACACAGCGCTATGTGGTTGTTTCCCAAAATAAGGGAGACCCAATATAGACCCCAATATATTATAATCCTTATCATGGGGAACCCCAAAAAAGGTACCCCTAATTTTGGGAAACCCCCATGTGTTTCCAAGACAAAGCCAGAGTTTTTGCTACAGCAGGACCTGACGCTGACTTTGGCACTTAACTCTCAATTCCAAGAGTGACAGGAGCTCTCATTAGACGGACTTATAGTTTGGCTTCCGCAGAATGGACACCTTGTAAAACACGAAAAAACTCTCCATGAGTCCTACACATCCTCTCCAAAACCATGAGGGAAATTCTCCGTCAGAAGTTCTGACTCCCAATTTCCCCGCATGAAAAGCTTGTTTCAAATCAATCCAGTCACACCCCATTTGCAGTGTGTGATGGCTCGCTTCAGGAGCTCCTCGGCCTTTTCCACCTGCAAGATGAGGGGCTGAAGGTTTGGCTCTTAGATTAGAGCAGGGCTAAGGGCTCACTTAGGATACTGGAACGGGGCCACCTGAGGATGTAAGCAGAGATATCGGATCGCAGAAGCGCTGCACAAGGTACATCGGATCTGCAGATTTACTGTTGCAGCTCGGGCTTACTGAGGCACGAAATTCTTGGGGGCTGCTTAGCGCTTGGTAAAGCATCTAAAGAGCGCCCTCCACAAGTGTTGCATTGTTGCATGGAAATCACTTCTACCATCCCTACAGTAGAAATCCCCAAGAAAGATCCATGGTGTTGAGAGACGGAAATGCATGCCGGTTGGCAAGTTTACTGCCAGCCTGGACGACGGTGCCAGAAAGAGTGACCTGCGTTCGAGGGCGACGGGCTACAGGGGGTGAAGGACACCGAGGGCTGAAGTACTCACTGGTGCTGGCGGGGGAAGGGAGGAATTGATCTCTGTTACATTGATCTCTATTACAGTTAATCCCCACATCTAAGCCTAAGCCCATGATAACACCCACATTTATTCCCAATCCCCTTGAGCCCAGTAAGTTTGAAGAGATGCCGAGGCCTGCGGGCAACCCGTATCCTGCATTCGCATTGCTCGCATGAGCCAAGTACCCAACAACTGAGTACTTGGGGTTTGGGTAATAGTAAGTGTAGTGCAGCTTTGGGGTAGGTATATGGCTATTGAGTACTCGGACCTTCAGGGTATTATACTTTCACGCATTCATGAGCTGAACAGATGATACGGAACGTTTGTATGTAGTCATGTCCGATCCACTGCATACCCTGGTGAGGGCGAGTTAGAGGGTTCGCTGGCTGCTTCCGACCTAAAAGCTAAAACGCGAACGTCTTCCATGTAGTTGCTGGCGCTACTTGCAGTGCCGTTCTCAAAAAGAGATTCCCTCTGGCTGGTGTCGAGTGATGGAATGAATCCCTGTACTTATTCTTTCTTATCCCCAATCCCCAATAGCACACCTTACAGTCTCTTCCTCCATTACCTAAACCTCCAAAATATGTAAAATAATGGCCCTAAACCCATAATCATAGCCCTAAAGGCCATTCTTCTACATACTTTTGGGGTTCAGGTACCTCCTAAGCACAAGTATCTAAATATTGGGTACTTGGACCCTCAGGGTTACCTCCTAAGCACAATGGCAGCCTTTTTTACGAAGAGGCAGAGGAAAGCTCGCCTGAGACATCTCTGCGTCCCACTCCAACTCGGTGATTCCAGCCGACTCCGCCAGCAAGCGCCTGGCATACGGTAGTATGGGGGTTTCCCAAAATTAGGGGTACCATTTTGGGGGTCCCAATATTAAGCATTATAATATTTTGGGTCTATATTGGGGTCCCCCTATTTTGGGAAATTACCGTATAGACGCCTGCTGGCATATTTGGGTTTCGCGTAGCCACAACACATCGGCAACTGTCCAAACGAGCATCGACCCAATGCATGTTCGACTTGCTCGTTTCGTGGTCAGCGTTGTGGGCCAGGGGCTCTAACGCTGCATAAGGATTGCAAAGGGTCAATGTTACTAAGTATTCAGGCTTTTACACAGTAGACACTTGGTGTGGATCTGTGTGGAGCGTTTGGAGTTTGGGGCTGCCAGGTCTCAATGCAGATCTAAGTAAGGGCTGATAGGAAGTTTTTCTTCGATAGAATACACAGCAGGGTATCCCATCTACCTCCCACGAAAGGCTACCTCATCATAATACACACTAGTCAATTTGCCGACAGAACCCGCATGAACTTACCAAAGCCACACAGTGGGATTGTCATATGGTCATATGCAAGCACAAGGCATGCTAAAGATTTCATGTTCAGGAACGTGCGGCTCTATTCTGTACAGCCTCTTTTTACACACGGGCACCATGGATAACGGACCACCTGCACTGTTGACTGTGCCCTTGAAGCTTTACGTGCAGGATTCGGTGCTCCATGCATCACAACTCTTGAATATACTTGAGGTACTATTGAAAGTCATGATGTGTAACCTGTTCTTTTAAGGTCATGATGAGCAGCCGAAATGCCATTCCACAACAACTCGTTGAAGGTCAGGGGTACTGACGGGAAAACAGTGCTCATGTGCGCTCCAAAAGGACCTTACAAGTAGCAGACAACGATGGCTGCTCTCCTCACTTGCCTAGACCCTACTTGCTCTGCTTGAGCACTCTAGACTTTCTATCTCCGCACCATGGTTAATTGCCAAAGATGACAAGGGCACAAGATGGGCCAAACAACCCTAAACCCTAAACCCTAATTGGGACTTCCGGAGAAGAGGAAGCTGGATGGCCTCGTGCTTTCCGTCATGAAGGAGCGCAGCTGTACTTTCGGAATCTCCACCACGCTGCTAACCTTTTACCCTAAGGGTCCAAGTACCCAATATTCATATACTTACCCCAAATCTGTTCTATAATTACTATTACCAATATCCCAAGTACTTAAATATTGGGTACATGGACCCTTAGGGTTAGATGCTTTCATGCAGGGTTTTGGCTCCAAAGGACTACTAGAACTATGGGTTTAGGGGAGGATCCGCTACCCCGGGCGACGAAAACCAATCTGGCTTCAGGAGCTATGTAAGTGTCACCAAGCATCGCTCCCTCCTGCACTCTCATGTTGTTATGGGTAGATTTATCTCCTGACACCTGAGACCTTGTAATACTATATCATCAACGTGTCATGTATGAGTTAGATATTTTAGTCATTTGTTGTTGTTCTATTCTTCTAGACATCATATGACCCCTGGACTAGAGTTATAGTACATTCCTTAAAGGTCCCCCCTAAACCCTCCAGACATCCTCTTATAGGTCCCCCCCAACCTAACTTTAGTCCCTAGCTCATACTGAATGTTGATTCTTTGGTGTATCTGAAACCGAGCCAAAGCTCCTTCGGTGTTCGGCACGTTCCTGGAACACGCAACACGCAACCAATAAAGGACTACAATAGTACAGCCCATCCCCCAAAGATTTATAACTCTGTTAGGCCTTATTAAGCCCTATATAGTCCTTATTAGTTCCTTAAACCCTGGGGGGGTACCTTTGGAGGGGGGGTACTACTGTAATCCCTTAACCAACGAATGAACTACCTTGCATCCAAGTCCCTACTTGGAAGCTCTTGTGCGGTTAGCCTGTAACTAGGTGTAGCCAGATGTTTCTTGGCACCCCACTTTGAAGTAGCCTTGAATCACAGAATAAACCCACGGCTCCTATGTAGTTCCTTTTGGGGTCTGTTTATGGGTTTTTGGGTAAGGGATTATAATATACTACCCAAAAGGAACTACATTGGAGGGTCTGGGTAAACCCTGAACCCTAATCGTGAGAACTACATAGGAACCTTTGGATAGGCGGATCTGACGCTCTTGGGACCCTCTCGGCCTGGTTCGCATCCAAGTTCGAGAAGTTCATCTCCTACTGGGCGGTTTAGAACTTTCCGGGATTCTCGTAATTTTGGGGCATACGTAGAAGACCGCGAAATCCTGGAAATTAGCACTTAAACAGCTCTACCTGGAGAACCCCGGCTTCCAATTAGGAATGTTTATAGATTACCCTAGGACTTTTCCCTCGAGTTGGGCTACCTAAGTGGGACAGACCCTGAAATGACACCCTGGCATCAGTATATCGGTGTCTACTCAACTCAGGAAATTCACCTTTTTCTGATGATGGACTGAATCCTGCATGGCACCCCCAAGAGGTAACATGTTACTTAAGGCCCTGGGCTTCTGTCCTCTGTGGTATGGGTCACGCAAGCTATGGGTCCCTGCACACTTCCTGCCCTATAGCGTTTCGGAGCGGCTTCCCAAGTTTGTTACCTACAAGTGCGTTAGGGTGGATAAGCGCAAGCAGTTGCTTAACCCGGTAAAGTCCAAATCTTGCCCTATAAGGGTCCAAGGACCCAAATATTAGGGTTTTAGGGCCCAAATACCATTCAGATTATAGTATTTGGGCCCTAAACTCCTAGTATTTGAGGCCTTGGACCCTTAGGGTTGCACTCTTTGCAGAGTTGCAGGGGCCGCGTGTTTCAGAAGTTTGGTTTGAGTACGTGAGGCTCTCCGCGGTCTGAGCTTTTTCTCTGCGATTCAAAGGTGGTAGGGTTTAGGGTTTACGGTTTAGGGTGTAGGATTTAGGGTTTAGAGTTTAGGGTTTAGGGTGTAGGGTTTAGGGTAGTATGCGAAGGCATTCTTCAATATATCAACCACATACCCTAAGGGTCCAAGTACCTAATCATCACATACTTACCCCAAAACCTGTGCTAAAATTCCTATTACCCAAAACCCCAAGTACCTAATTATTGGGTACTTGGACCCTAAACCCTAAACTCAAAACCCACAACCCTAAACTCTAAACCCTAAACTCTAAACCCTAAACCCCTAACCAGCAGCCTTCACCTCAGCGGCTGAAAGGTGTCAGCGCAACTCTGCAAAGTGTAACAGCGAACATGCGAAGCAGCAAAAGCATCCTACCTGAACCCAAAAGCATGTTAAATAATGGAATTTATGCTTGTTATTATGGGTTCAGGGCTATTATGGGCTTTTATCTTAGATACTTTTGGGGTCTAGGTATTCCTAAACCCTCATTCCAAAATCTTCGACCCTAGGCATCCCACCGTAAACCCCTATAGTCCCCCTTAAGTAGATTTAAGTAGATAGAAAATGGGGTATATGGGGATCTTATTATAATATACCCAAAGCCATATTCTATCTGCTTGAGGGGTACTATAGTCTCAACCCTGAAGCACGCAGGTGCTACCAGCAGCCCTGCATCCTTGATGTCTGACGCGTCTACACGAAAATCCTTAAACATAGAATATGGACCCCAAATCCAAATCCGTGAATCCTACTTCGCCAAAACACAGCCTGCACCGTCAAAACGGAAAGTTTATACTCCAAATGAATCATGAAATGGCAACATTGTGCAGCGTCTACTTTCTATGGCTCGAAGTGTCTCACCAAGAGCAGCAAGCAAAAAACACAACTCCGCGGAAGATTAAATCTAGAACTGAACTTTCGAACCTACGCCCCGGTCTTGAACCCCACACCCGAAACTGAAACCTAGCCAGTAAACCTTGTATATTTATAGACCTTGTCCCAGTGTCGATCAGTCTCCAAACTTGCTGGACAGTCCTCCGTGGGTGGAGCTCCTGCGCGCAGCGCCTGCTTGCACCAAGACATCATCTCTTTAACTGGTCTAACGTCTTGTAAGGATGTACAACGTTGCGAAGAGACTGCCCGTATTGCAGGGATCTGGTGTTTGTGCGGGCTCTGGGTCTAGGAGGGCTTGCATGCTCAGGACCCAGGATTTGGCATCGCAGGTTCCAGTGCGACCCCAAACTCCGCACTGTGAGCTGCACGGGCTGGGGGCATTGGGGTGTGCACAAAGGTGTAAGATGAGGATGTGTCATGTTCCGGGGATAACCCTGCTACTGAACTGGGTTGCTGTTAAGGAACTTACAATAATTTACCCTAATATAGGTACATGGTAAACAAGTGGGTATCCTCATTGTATTGACTTGCTTTAAGTTCCTTCACAGCTACTCAGTGAAAGCCTAGCGGCTTGCCCAAGTTCTGGGGCGAGCGTCTTCAAGGTAAGGACTGCATCCTGTAGGGTTGAGGGATTAAGGATTTCCGAAACTTAGATATTAATCAAGTACGTGTATATAAATATATACACATGTGTGGATTATATATATATACACATACATACATACATATATATATATATATACGGTGACCATGGTACCTCCACCCAAACCCTTCTTATCTACGATTGTTTCCCGTTGTTTGGCCCATATGCGGTGTTTCAAATTTGCGGACACTCGTCTCGTTTGCTTCACAAATCTTTTTGGGGCTGATGTCGACAAAACCACATGAGCTCGTTCATCGGGCTGGAGTATGCATCTGGGCTTTGTTTTGAACCAAGAGCACGGTCAATCTGCTGGTCCTGGATGCAAAATACTGTGGGGTTCAGGTTACAGGATTCAAGAATGCGGCAGTCCTGAAAAGATGCTTCTGTGCACATTGTATGCAGACACTTCATACACACAGCGCTGTCTTCTAGAGTGTGCTCCGTCCAGGCACCACCAACCCAACAACCCCACCGACTTATGATGGACAGCATGGTACCATGTACGACGACCTAGACGGCCTTGGCGTCGTGAGAAAAGCGGCATTGATCGCCCCAAAGACAGTCGTTCTTCAGAAAGTGGGTGCACCTTACGCGTTGAAGGGTTGAGGCGCTGATGGTGGAGAGGATTTGTGACGTCTTGTTTCCGCTCTTATCACAGCCAATGCCCACGTGACCATGCGTCAGGCAGCTGGAACACGATTGTCTTGAACATGCATCTAAGCGCGCCATGCCATCATCCAAAATTCCATGGGTGGCACAGAAGAAATACCGCAAAAGCCCGCTACCTGGGATAACAAAAACATTCTAAGAGCGCCGCGTATTGACGACATTTCACATTATTTCCATGAAAGCCACGCCCCTGCACGCCTGACAGATTCTGAAATTCACTTAACGTTCCTGTTAGTCTGGCAATGGATTGTGCAGAATGCTTTCCATGACGAGCAGTCCTCACACACCATCCAGACATCCTATGTTCTGGGCCACGGCACGTAATCACCCTTGAACCTTGGCAACCACATCGTGAGGCAACGCGTCAGCTGAGACGTCAGCAGTCTTAGACATCGTGGATTCGAGATCTCCCGCACATTTCCGATAAGAGCTGCTGTCTCCTTGTTTATCCGCTGACTTCTCAGGAAATTTAGAAGATTGGTCGGTAGGAACTAAGAGTCAGCTGAATATAAGTTAGTTAGATCTGAAAACGTGACACGTGCTTACTGACGCTTGTATATAATCGGTGACAACCTGGGAAGGGATATCTATCGGCTCCGTGAAGGTAGGGATACCCAGAGTTGCCTTACATTGCAGATTTGAAGCCTTGATCTTGAAAACCTAGGTCCTGGCAGCAGGAACGCCAACCACTCTCAACCCCGAACGCTGGTCCTCCACTGTTCGCGGCGCACGACGCCGAGTAGTAGGAGGCCTCAGCAATATGTAAGATTGCATGCTATCGCTACTCTTCTGTTAAGTAGGTGCGCCAAGAGAAGTGCAGGGCGCCTACATCTAAGGGGGGTCCTTATCCCTAGCAGTGTACAAATGTCCGAAGCCCATGGCGACATCCCTTTTTGGAGAAAACCCTTCAAAGGATTCGGGATTAAGTTACAGGTTTACGCTTTGAGGATTGCGGGCTTGCCTCTTGTACAGACGAACACCATCACTGTAGTTGGTTCACTTACCCTCCCATACCTCCTTTGCGCTTATATGAAACTACTTCATGCGCAACGTCTGCATACACGGCTGGCAAGAATTGCGCTGCTCAGTGGGACCTTACTTTCCGACAGACACTGAACAACCACACTGCCCAAGCATTGACCGTCCCACCATGAGACTGTCCCACCTCTACACACACCCCCTGCAACAGGCTCCTGTCGACCTACTCCTTGCATCGAAATACGACCATGCCGGGGTTTCTGAAAACGGCGAGTTCCAGCAACGACTGTACAGTTGTGGGCGCGGTGTAGCTTACTCCAGATTTTGATAACAACATATAAGAGCTACTAAGGTCGCTGCAATAGCATGGTAGGCTTTCAATGGTCTTGGAGCCTACTTGGGAGCTGCAAGTAGGATTTCTATGGACCTCTACATAGCTGCTATATACGCATTCAAATCGGATACTTCTAGCTCTACTGATAAAATCCAACTTCTCATGGACATCTGAAGGAGGAGAATTACACAAAGCTTCGGACTCTTCTGCGGCTTCTGCGGCCTTGCGGGCTCTGCTCTGCTCGAGGCCAGGAGCGCAAATGGTTCCATTGGATTGCCAGGGTCAGGGGATAAGGAAACTTGTGTGAACTCGGAATCGTTGCTGCATCTTGAGGATCTACAATGCAAAGCCATTTCGGGCTGAACATGATTTGCTGAGGGTTGGGAGATTGTTTCATTCAGGAATGAAAGGGATTGCAAGGGAACTATCTACGCGTTATGCAGATTCTGCGGAGATCTTGTTCCTGGCTTACAATGTACCGAGGTTTTTGTGCATTCCGTGCCTGATCCTTGTGGCTGAGTGTTCCAGTCTCTATACATATATATCTCTCTGCATGTGTATATACATATATTTGCATATATATATATATGTCAATGTGTGTCTACAGATATCTAGAAGCACGCCTGCACACCATAGCAGTTCCACAGTTGGCTCAGGCCTTGAGTGACTCGGGGAGCTTTTGCAACCCAATCGTGAGAAAAAATACCATTTTGGGGGGGATATAGGGATATTACCCCGAAAAAAATGTCATTTTGGGGGGATATAGGGATATTACCCCAATAATGGAGAATCAAATGGAATAGAAAATGGAAAATTAAATGGAAACTGGGAATATATGGGGAAATGGAGCAGTCCTTCCAAACCAGCAAGGAACGACAGCTCACGCAGTCTTCCTCAAAATTGGGGGGGGAAATGATATACCCGCAATTTTGTCCTCGAGCATTGCATGGACGAACCCTCAAGTTGCCAAAAAGGGGGCCCGTGATTTAGAGAACCTCTCAGCGCGAGCTTTCCTGCGTGCCCTCAAAAAGCAGTGGCAAGTCTGGTAGACCCCTTTTGCAGATCACTTGTTTGGAAGCTTTTCGCAAGGGCAGAAGTGAGGCGTTTCTTTTCCTGCACTTGGAGGCTCAGGATCATGAGAACCTACTGATGGTTGTACTTAAACCCACTTACCAGCCCATGAGTCCCTTCACTTAGATAAAAAACTGTCGCTGGCATTATAGGTGGGCTGTTCTTACCAATGAATCTGAACCTCAAACTCATCTGGGATCCCCCCGAACTCTGGCGTAACCAGTAGCACCCTGGACAGTCAACTACAGACCAACTATATGGCTTTCCCCAAAAGGCACCACTATTGGTGGAAGCCCGGTGTTCTGGACGTTGCTCGTTGAGGAGATGGGATACCATTCCCAGAGGGTCCACATATACAACCATTAAGGATTGGGACCCATAATTCCTTCTATAGTATGGTATTTTGGGGCCTAATTCTTTAATTGTTATATATATATATGGACCCTCTGGGATTTCTAGAACATGACATGTATCAGTATCAGGTTCTGTCCTCATTGAGGCTGCTGAAGCCGTCTTGCGTCCGCGCCTCGTGGAAGATCAACATGTGCGAGCAAAGTACCGCCATGCAAAAAAGACATGTGTAGGGAATCTGGGACATTCGCTGGATTGTGACAAGTCTTTGATACTGACATTGCCTGATCTTCAGCTCTATTATTCGGTGTCTCAATACTAAGGTGCCCCTTTCTAGAGCTTTGTGATGGGCATCCTGTCAGTACCTAGCGGGGTTTCTGTGGTGGGACAGGATCAAGTAGCATCAATTGCCACTACACAAATCTTCGAGGGCGACCGATGAAGAAGAACAGCCAAGTAAGAAACCAGTGGGGACTATCTGCCACGGACGGGAGTTACACTGCCTTCACCCTAAACCCTAAACCCTAAACCCGCAAACCCCTTACACATCCCCAAAGAACTTGGTAGTCTCCCTTCCACGGAGATTGTAACATCGGCTTTGAAGTCTTCAGATGTGGTAGTTTCCCAAAATAGGGGGACCCCAATATAGACCCCCAAATACTATAGTCCTTATTATGGGGACCCCCAAAAAGGTACCCCTAATTTTGCGAAACCCCGATGTACACCTGGGCACAGGCTTTCGGCTTGAAGGCAGGGCTGCTAAATATTGCTCACAAGGGGCTTCTTCCTGTACGATTCTCTAAGCCAGAGGCCGCAAAAGGATGACAGGAACACGTTTCGCATCCCAGAAAACTTCCTGAGGGACTTCGTAATCCGCAAGCAATCCATGACCGTCAGCCCTGAACCAGCCATAATTAAGTGAAATGCGGCTTTAAGACTCAGAAAGGTTGTTGAGCACATGACATTGACTCGAGAAGGTGCGGCGAAGGATAATCTCTAAGTTCTAAGGGTCCAAGGACCCAAATATCAGGGTTTTAGGACCCAAATACTACGATATCAATGGTATTTGGGCCCTAAAACCCTATTATTTGGGTCCTTGGACCCTTAGATTAAGTTCTATCCCGC